CATAATTGGTGCAGCCAACTCCCTTAATGTCCTCTCTCTGTCAGCCATTCTTTCTACTTCTTCGAAGATGGGAAAATCACAAGTGGGTAGATCGAAATCTGAGTTYACCCTTTTAGGTGAACGATCCTTCCTTTGCTTCGCCTCCTTCCTTAAACGACGGGTGGTCCTCTCAATTTCGGGGTTGTATTGAAGTTCACCTCGTTGAAAAGCACGAGTCATAAACAAGAAGGTTAACAAAAGAAGGTCACTGTGAGAAGCTATAGGATCTTCTGGATGCGAGCTGCTTTCTCCTTGATATGAGAGGTCATGCCTTTTGTAACACTTTAGGGATTCATGGCCTGGTTTGTTACAAAGTTGATAGACAATGCWATTTCCTTTTCCATGACCTTGTCCATGGCCTGAGGACTAACCACCATGCTCCCTGCCTCTTCCACGGTTGTTGCCACCCCTGTTTTGATTATAGGAGTTTTGAGAGACTTGAAAACTATTAGTTACATTTTTATTATTCATAGCAACATTCGCATTGAGAAAAATATGTTGTAAAGCCAAGATTCATGACTCAAAAGCAACCCAASAACATCACTAATGTTGAGTTGATCTCCATCAGTTCGATTGGTGATGGCTGTAATGAAGGATTCATACTCACTTCCCAAACCGGATAAAATATATAGAACTAGATCTTCTTTTGCTACTAGTTCTAAAACTGCAGAAAGATTATCTGCAATGGTCTTGGCTTTTTGAACATAATCACTAATGGAGAGATTTCTCATCTTGAGATTTTGAAGTTGGCACCTAAGTTGTAGTACCCTAGATCGAGAATGAAAAGAGAATAGCCTTTCAAGAGCACTCTAGACTTTGACAGCTATGGAAAGTCCAACAACTTGTGCCAGGACTCCCTCAGTTAGAGAAGCAACAAGCCAGCTTAGAACCAGGTGATCTAACTGTACCTAGGTAGAGAATTCCGGGTTCAGAATTTTCTTACTATTGATATAAAGATCAGGTATCTCTTTTGAAGGTGGATTTACTGATCCATCAATTAGCCCCATTAACTTGTGAGTTCGAAGTACAGGAAGCAATTGGGCCTTCTAGAGGAGAAAGTTGTTGCCATTAAGCTTGACTGTCAGGTAATGAATGATGTTGGGAACTGAGTTGATTCTCATAGACAGAGAAGAGGTTTGGGAAAGGGATGAGCTCGTGTTCATTGCTTAAGACACAATGGAGGTGTTGTAAGCCATGGATCTGATACCAAGTTAAAAAAACAATATGAAGAAGATGGTCTTAAAAGAATGGGCTAAAGATCTAGAGCTCTCTTTAGTAAGAAGGCTAGAGTTGTTTTTGGTAAGAAGAGGAGGGCTAGGGTTGGCCGATTCCTTAATACCTTCTAACAGCCACCTACACTACCAAGTGTTGCTCCTTGAGAGCCATGAGAGTGGCTTGGAAGATTCTATAGGTGTCGACGAAGTGATGCAAATCTTGTTCTAAAGTTCTGATGTATCCATTCGAATGTAGAGATCTTACCCACTGCCACTGTTAGAAAACCGTCTAATATCGATTAAATCACCAAACCAAAYARCAYARCCACTGCCTCCACTAATATCAGAGTTTGCATATGTTGTACAAGAGCAGTTCTTTAGGCATTCTACTTCACAATCTTTAAGATTAATGTTCTTGTCCACCCAAGTATACCTAGTATCCGGCAATTTGAYCCTTGTAAACTTCACAAATCCTTCTCCCTTTTGGCAATCCAGAGATGCTTGGTGTACACATCCCCTCGAACCAATCCATTAAGTTCCAATCAGTTAGAGATTTTGGTTTAAATCCTTTCAAACATTGGAAAACCGGAGATTCGTTCATGTCACAATCACTGTACGCACCACAAAGACCATAACTGTCACAGTAGTCTCTCGGCACCGACAAGAAAAGTTGCCAATTATGACTCATGGCATTCCATGTATAGCATTGAAGCTCACCACCGTTGTCAGTGCTTTGGTTCAAGACCAACCTTGAAATAATTGAATTGTCATTCAGTAGATGGTACGTGTAAGAAACCTCCTCGTTATTCCAAGTAAAATTGAAACTGAAAATAATATTGGTCTTCWGCTCGGATGCCCCACTATATCGAAGCCCATTCCATGGTCTAGCCCGATAATGCTCCTTTGATCCTTTCTGCATCACTATTTCCGGGTATTCGTTATTCTCTATCCCATAAGTAAGATCTCCAGTAGGAGGACCATCGACACTCTTCCACGATGATAAGCACCGGTTCATTCCCATCTTCAGGTGAAAGAATGGTAGGATCCATCCAATGGACGCCATAAAGGTTGCGGAATGGGTGGGCGAATTTCAAAAAATTTCCTACCTTCTCCCAACTGGGAATCATATTCCCTAAATTTAGAATATA